AATGGGTATGATATTCATTCCTTGCTATAAAGGTATTAATCTACTCTGTATCCTCTAGTAAATAGCACAAGTTGGAAGCACCTAACCTTATAATGAGTTGAGCTTGTGCCATCAAGAAAATCTGAGTCAATTTTCATGCTACTGCTTTTGCAGGGTACAGCCACAAGCCTGAAGAATTCTCCTCTCCCCAAGATATATCAAATGGAGTCAAGGTATTGGCCCTTACCCTTGCCAAATTGTCCCTGCAGTGATATCTTATTCCAAATTCTTGTAAAGTTGATTGTTCACGTCCTTGTTTTATTGGAGCCTTGTTCCCTGTGAACTTGTTTACAATAAAGTTTGAATTTTCTCCCATTACTGAATTTTCATGGTGGGTGAGTTCAGAACCAGATGATTAGTGTGTGTGAATGCAAAAGAGAGAGACAAGGATCAGTCTGTTTATCCAATTATATTTGCAATTTGAAGTTGGTAGTTCAATTACAAAGAAAGCAGCTTTACCCAATCTTCATCGACCTCGTTGGGAGTTGTATGGGAAAAATCAGAAACTACTCTCCTTAGGTTCTATCTGGATTGAATCTGCTTCAACTAAAAGATCTGCAATTCACTCGCCTGTTCTCTAACAAATATCTAATCTCTTATAGAAACTCTGAAGGTTTAGGGTTTAGGCAAACAAGAAGAAAAGGCAGACGCGGAATGATCCTACGCTATCAAAACGTGTATCAACAATCTTTACTCGTTGTAGCAGTCGTAATGTTTTTGATCTTCTCTGCATTTACTAGTGAAATCTCAATCTAGATCAGAAGTTAAAGAACGCATAACTCCAACGAAAGACCCAAAAAATTGAACAGTGGATCAAAAATCTTAGCACTAACCTTAGGTTTCATTACCAGCCTTTCGTTTTCCCCATTCTTCAAACTGACAGAAGATATCGTCAAGTCTACAGATTATTTTCCAAACAAGTGTTTAGAGAGTGCCAAATTCCCAGAGATTTAATGGCAACGGATTCGATAAATTTTCTTACTCTTTTCCAATGCCAATCCATTCTTCTTCAGAATCTCAGAAATCATCACTACAGTTGGTATAGCTGTATTCCATGAATCAATGGAAGTCGTACCAGTTATTTAAATCGAATTGTGAACTAGTAGTGAAAAAAAGAAAGGATTCAAGAACTTGTACCCATCCCCAAGGCTGAGAGCTCAACTTCGTTGAACTGCTTAATGTACCTCTGCAACAAAACGAAACGTAAAATCAATCCAGATTTTGATTTTCTAAAGATGAAGCTAAATAGAGAAGTCGTTCAACGGTGTTTCCATATCGTGGTTTGGACAAACAAGATCTTACGGAAGCAACAAAAGAATACCTTAGAAAGATTGTAGTAGTAGAAGAACGGCTTCTTGACATTGGAAACCTGAATTTGGTTCTTCTTCTTCTTCTTAAACTCGGTCAATACAGCAATCTCCTTAACCTCACCATCGGGGACAAACGACGAGGAGCTTTTCGTCCTCATTACGGATTGCATTCTTAACCTCAGTAGTAGCTTCTAAGATGACCATGCCGGACTCCATTGCCGAATCGCTGAAAGAAAACTGTATTTCTACTACACAAATTGAGAAGAAGTTTGGCAGAATGGAATCGAATTGCAGGAGTAGTTTATAAAGAATTGCGAGGGCGAAGAATGTTGAAGAAAATCAGAATCCCGCGGAATCAGTGTTTGTTTCGACGGCGGCGTTTGGGCAGTTAAGGTAAACACCGGCAGTTACTGCATTATCCGGTGACTGGTCCGCCCCTGAAAATTTTTGAAAAATCCCAAACTCCCCCTTTTAATTTTATCAAATTACATTTTCATCCTTGCAAATATATCTTAAAACTTTAAAAAAATATTTTAATTTTGTCTCAATGATATACACTAAAAATTAGTGCAACATATAACTAATTTACCTAATTTTGTTAGTTAAATAACAGTTTCAACTACCATGTGACAAATTATAATTTGAAGTAAAATGTAGCTAACTATATATTAAAATGATATTGAATTTACTATTTCGATATGAAAGTGTGGGGTCCCATTGATATTTGGTTGGATATGATTTTTTTCGTTCTTCTTTTCCTTTTTTCTTCTTCTTTTTTCATGACTACGATATGCCTCATTATAAAAAGGCTTTTGAAGCAAAAATAATAATAAAGAGATTGAGCGTAAAGTGGCCCGTTGTTGAATTGAATTGAATCTCTTTAGAAAGATCTTCATTTCGTTAAGCCTGAGTGCTGCCACAAAGGGAAGTAGACGTAAAAACTTATGAGCTTATAGGTTTCACACTCATGCCCATAATATGATCTACTGACCCACACACTCATGCCCATGATATGATCTACTGACCCACATGAAAATGGCAGGTTCGAGCCTATAACTTGTTCGTCTCCTATGAATGATTAACTCAACAAAAATGTGTTAACTAGTTTAATTATGTTTAGATCCCGATTAAGACATAATTTAATAAATATTGGTGATACCAAACTTATTAAGTAGGTCATTAAATGGCACTCACTTTTGTACCAAATAACCTTCATTGACAAAAGCTTCCACACAAAAAAGCAAAGATTGGTTCAATTCAATGGCTCTGAAAATTGCAAACACTTCCATGTGGGACTATTTATTTAGCCTTAACTTTGGTGCCTATAACAAGCTCTTGCCTTTACCCCAATCTTACACCATTTTTTTCCTCTATTTGTCCCATTTCATTATGGTTTTTAATTTCCCCACCAAACTCTAAACCCATTTTAAACGTATCATATCTCAATATCTTGTACAGTATCGTAGATTCAAACCATAACCGAAAGCAAAATCACTTGCCTTGTGTCTCAAGCAATGAAAAACTTAGTTGGATCTTGAGAAGAAGAGCTCATACTCGTTCTTTAAAACGCTTTTTAGTGATTCGTGTTTGCTCAGAAGAACCTATGTCGAAAAGCAAATAGAAGCTCCTCTTTGAAGTACGGGGAAGAGAGACAAGAACATCTTTTTTTCCTTTTCTTTTTTAGGTTATGATAAAAGGGTTTGTCTTATATCCTTTAGAGAATATAAACTAACACAAGCAAGACAAGACATTGAAGTAGTTAATTCATGCTTTAGAGTGAGTGTTTGTGTGTGAAAAGCTGTTGCCTTCTCTCTCTCTCTCTCTTCCCTTTCACGTATATAAAGCCTCCTTACAAACATCTCTATATCAAATAGTTCTAAATCTCTCTCTTTTTCTTGTTTTCTTGGTGAAATTGTTGAGGGGAATGTTGTCTGGTTCGACACCGTTCATTATCTTTCATATGACGGTAACGATGTCGGACCAGGCTTCATTCCCCCCAACTCGAAAAAGAAACGAGTATTGCTGTTCTCCTCTCCTCCATAGATCGATGTCGACCTAGGCTTCATTCCTCCCTTAAGTTGTAGAAACTCGAGCAATGGTAAAGTTTTTTTTTTTTTCTTCAGGTTTAAGACATTGATTTTGAAGAACAAAATGGGAAAACCCTAATTTTGTTTATGAGGAAAAGGAGAAGAGAAGTGAAAAAGATGTTATAAAATAAGAAGAGGCAAATTAGCTTTGCTTGCAGAGAGTTACAAAGAATAATATGAGCTGAAATGAAGAAGCTTTCAAGACCTTTCACTTTATGAGCTACATGAAAGAGATTTTTTTTTTTTTTTTTTTTTTTTTTTTTTTTACGGTCATGATTAAAATATATATCTTCTTCGACTAAAATATTGGAGATTAGAATTTTTATGAACTTTTATTTATGGAGTAGTTTTATGGGTCGTATGTGTAGCTTCTTGATAGAGATTTAGTAGAAGTTACGAGCAGATACCTTTTTAAGAAATGCAAAACTTCTATTTTAAGATTTCTCGTGATTTTCTTATCGGATCTTTTGGGTTATTTATATTGTGAACCATCGAAGATTTAATCCTGAACCGGGGTTCAGAGTTCAGAGTAGTGTTGGGTCGAGTTCGAAAGAAATATGGGTAAAATATAATGCAATATTTTCAAATTTAAAAAGGTTTAAAAGAAAAGTTTTAAAGAAAATGTTGAAGAAATAACAAAAGGTAATTTCTAAAAAGAGGGAGTAGAAAAGGTTTAAATTTGACATAAATTTGAGAAAATGGCTGTAATAATTTTTTTATTAATTTTTTTTCATACCAATATCAAAATAACTATTTTCCATAAATAAAATATTATTTGAAATAAATATAGATTTCTTTTTTTTTTTTTCATGACTTTGACCATTTGAAAATTCTCACAAAAAGCATTCTCATTCAACATGGAAAATTTAAAAAAGCTTAGAAAAGTTCGTTTTTAAAATAATGAAAAAAAAAAACCCGTGAGGAACTCGATCCCCTCGAATTTTTCAGAAGAATCTCCATTCCGACCCATAAAAATAAATGAAGAATTTTGCAAGGACAAAAATGAAAAAGATTTCTATGTCTCAGCTCACTCGGTGGACATCATACTCATAAATAATTATGTAAAAAGACAGAGATTAATTAAATGCAAATATTAATTAATTTTGTTCGACTTAATTTGGTAACATTTAATAATATTGATTTCAATTATATTAAACTATAAATGAGAAGAAAATAAGGTATTTACATTTAAATTTAAATTTAAATAAAATCAAATTTTCTAAAGATTTAGATAGATACATGGAATGGTACATGTTAGCATTATTTTAAAAAGGTCTATCTTGGGCCCAAAGCGGCCCAAGTTGGCCCAATAATTAAAAATCTACCCCATAACCCACCACGCGCGACACATGCACATGGACTACACCTGCTCCCATACCCAATCAATGGTTTCGATTAATATATCTAAAGTGTCCAATCGAAGGTTATCGTTTAGTCCACGCGCCAAAATTCCCGTGAAACAACGAAACCCATCAACTGCTCTCAATCCGCCACGTCAGACAAACAAAATGCCGACGTGAGACCCCCTTCTCTCTCTCTCTCTCTCTCTCTCTCTCTCTCTCTTCTTTCTCTGTGTCGAGTTCTCTCGAGAATCTGTCTCTCAGAGGGCAGAACCTTGTGGAATTCGATTACTGAGAGAGGAGACAAGGCGCTCGATTTCATTTTTGGATGTGGTAGTTCCGTTCCAATTCTTTTGGAAATCATCGAGAGGAATTGAATCATGGAGGAAAGTTTTTTTGATCTTGTTGAGTTTCTGAAGAGGCCCTCGATTGCCGAAACATTTGTCGACATTTTGCTATGTGCAGTTCCGATCTGGCTCGCTGTTCTGATCGGCTTGGTTATCGGTTGGTCGTGGCGTCCTCGGTGGACGGGATTGGTTTTCCTCGGCTTTCGGAGCAAGTTCAGATTATTGTGGACTGCTCCTCCCGGATTTGGAGCTCGGCGGCTTTGGTTGGCCTTCACGGCTCTCTCTGCCTTCTCGGTCTGCCGGACTCTTTGGTCCAATTTTTATTGGAAGAGGAAAGCACCGCCCGCGCCGGCGGACTCGGATTCTCCGGTGGCTTTTACGTTGAAGCACTCGGCAGAAGGGAGCGGGGGTGTAATTGTGTGAGTATGAAATTTATTTGGTTGCGTATCAATATTTGTGGTTAGTCACTTATTTGCCAATCTTTTAATTCTGTGTGTAACTGACGGTATTTGAGCTTGTTGAATTTATGAGGTTTCGTCGTTCGTCTAGACTCCTGTTATTGACATTAATGGTTTGCCAGTTGTTTTTCTTGGAAAAATCCTTGCGGCGTTGTTGAGGCGGAGTTAGAATTTTTCTTGGAAATTTTTTTACATTCTAACTTTTTACGTGTAGTCTTTCAATTTTGAAACCAAGGGAGGGTCAATCGCTTCCTTCTTTCTTTGCTCGATCCTGGTTGACTGTTAAACTATAAAGGCTTTGGGATTCATTGAACAATATCATTAATTAATACCCTCGCTAAAGGCAAATGAAGAACAAGTTGTAATAATATTATGGATGCCATTAGATGAAACTGTTTCTGATGATAATTATCTTGTCCACTTCTTCAGCAATAATGAAGTGGAAAAAGAGCAGGATATTGTTACAGAGAATGATTTAGATCACCTATTGCAACTGCTTGAAGGAAGGGACGAACAGGCAGAATGGCAAGGTATGATGCAAAGGTCGACCCCAAATTTCGCATATGAAGCCTGGCGCCTTGAGCCTGAGGTATGGTATTCAGCTATGTGGATGGTATATTGTGTTTCCTATTATAAGTTTGAAGAGCTCTCTTGCATTTTCCTTTTCTTTTCTGCCAAATTTGGATTTGTCTTTTGCCATTTTTCAGAATTCTTGATTTTGCACTTTTTTTTTTTATTTCCTTTTGAACCCCTTTCCATAAATCATTTTCCCATGTTAGGAACTTAAACATTTTTCATTAAGATTTTACTATGATTAAGACATCACAATTTTTCTATACTTAATCTTTTGTGTTCTGTTTTTCCAAAGCTATGATCTAATATCAGAACCTAAACTGCCCTGTTTAAAATAAAAATTTTGGTTCTGAAATTTGTAGGGTACCACACTGTTATGTTTGAACTCCACTGTGGTTTCTTTCTACCTTTTGTGTGCTTGTACCACATATGGTATTGAACCATTGTCTATGGGGAATACGTAGCTGTTTCAAATTGTTGTTTTTTACTGTTTTAATTTTGCATTTTTATTGTTTTAGATGTAACATAAGGCTTCCACATCTTTTTTTTTTTTTCTCCTCACCAGAACAGACCAACAGTTTATCGTAGTAGAACTGTCTTTGAGGATGCAACCCCAGAGATGGTTAGAGATTTCTTTTGGGACGATGAGTTTCGGACTAAATGGGATCCCATGCTTACGTATGTCAAGATATTGGATGAATGCCCTCATACAGGGACCATGATTGTGCACTGGATTAAGAAGGTTTGTAAGACATGGGAGATACTTGAATGTATTTGTTGTATGGTACCATTAAATGCCTCAATTGTATTTCCGTTTTGCAGTTCCCCTTTTTCTGCAGTGATAGAGAATATGTCATGGGTCGAAGAATATGGGAGGCTGCAAAAACTTACTATTGTGTAACAAAGGTATATATTCCACCGTGTTCAAGGAATTTCTCCTGCTACTCTATGTTGCTAGCTACGTTGTCTGTAACTTGATCTAGCCATCCTCCCCGGCTTATTTTTGTTATTTTTTTAGATAAGTTCTATCATGCACTGTTATTCAGTTTCTCCTGCTACTCTATTGTGTAACAAAGGTATATATTCCACCGTGTTCAAGGAATTTCTCCTGCTACTCTATGTTGTTAGCTACGTTGTCTGTACTTGATCTAGCCATCCTCCCCCTCCCTGGCTTATTTTAGTTATTTTTTTAGATAAGTTCTATCATGCACTGTTATTCAGTTTGACATGGCTGTATACCTGGACTGCCAGATGTCCGAAATTTCCTTAGGATGGCAACAAGTTTCTATGGAAAATGGTATTATCAGAGGGAAGAACATATAAAAAAAAATTAATAGCAATTAGCAACTAGTTTTAATTGCTCAAGTTCAGCCTCTTCGTAGATTATCGAACGCTATAACGATTGGCTGTTTGTCCAGTCAAACGAATTACCAACGGATTTATATGATCTGTAATAAATTATAGAATTACTAAGCATTCCTTGATATCTAAGCATTCCTTGCTGACTTGCAGAATTGAAATATTATTACATGCTCCCTGTTAATTAAGACCTTTGCTCGTATTTTGATGTGATTAAGTTGAAACGTGAAACTATTTCTTCAGGGCGTACAGTATCCAAGCTTAACCAGACGTGACAAACCTAGGCGTGTTGATCTTTATTTTTCAAGTTGGATCATCAGGGCAGGTGAGGATTAAGATAATGTATTGTTCCTCTTTCAGAAAACTGCAGGATTTCACGTGAAAATTCGTTTTAATTAATATCCTAACTTCATAAATTTGGAAATGACAGTGGAGTCTCGTAAAGGAGATGGATTGTGGTCTGCTACTGAGGTTATCCTAGTGCATTATGAAGATATGGGAATCCCCAAGGATGTGGCTAAGTTGGGAGTCCGTCACGGAATGTGGGGAACTGTCAAAAAGCTGCACTCTGGTTTCAGAGCATACCAAAACGCTAGGAAATCAGACATTTCTGTGTCCAGAAGTGCACTGATGGCCAGAATCACCACGAAGATTGCTTTTGACAGAAGCTCGGAGTCCTCAGAGTCAGAATCAGGTGAAGTACGAACTCAGGTAATGCGGAGAAAGCACCAAAATGATTCTGGCTTAGATTGGAAATGGTTAGTCATTGGTGGGGCAGTGGCTGTAGTCTGTGGACTTCGAACAGGTGCAATTGGGAAAGCCTTGTTACTTGGGGCAGGACAGAGAATGGCTCGAAGGTGAGAGATGTCCAAATTCGGCGCAGAATCTGTATCTAAATGCATTTTGAAGCTCGAGAAGTTTCTTATAGTAGACGGACGCATCAACCAATATAGCGATTAACAGCATATGATGAATTTTTCTGAATGGCTGTGATAGAACCAACCTCTACAAACTTCCGGTATTCCTGAGCTCCCTCCTTTTATATGTCAGTCTTTTGCAGAAATGATTTGAGTATGGCATGTGTAATGGAACTCAGTTGTGACTTGAATCAACCTTTGCAGCTAATCAGATCATGCTTGTGTTTAGCTCTAAGCTTGATTAGGATTGTGGATATGTAAATTAATGGGGGGGCTTTGTTAATGTATTGATATCCAAAGCTAAGATTGTTGAACTCTAGGACTACTCGGTTATTTGATTGTTTGTAGATGACTTTTGGAGAAACCCAACCCAATTGGAGCCATTTCTTTCTCCTTTAGCCATCAACGAAGTGGTCAAGTCATGGTCCTTGACAACTAGGAATGACCCAAAAATTTAATATGATAGGCGAAGGAATGGTACATTGTCCATTTGATAGACAGAAAGATGGACCTAATTGGTGGTTGCTTGCCACTCTCCATGGCGGCTGTGGCCCTTTAACCAAAGACCTAATAAATGGGGCTGTGAATTTAGTGCCAAAATGGGGTCCCAACTCCATTCAACATCTTATTTCCATTTGTCAAATTTGGTTCCCACATCTTTTCGTTCCTTTTAGCAAGAACATCTGAAACCATTCTAAGGAAGAATGAAGCCGAAACAATAACGTCAACGACCGCTTATGATAGGAGTTGGTCAGCCATTTTGTATGTATGTATGAATGCATATCTAACGAATATAGGATGCCAAATTGCTTTACATTACAGCTCCAAGAGCTGATGTACACTTTTTGGTCCCAGTTGCTCTCGTTTTTTTTTTTTTTATGTGCTGTCCCGCTCCTTTCCTGTCTATGGACGAAAGGGCAAGTCAATTTCTTAGCACGAGNNGTTCATTTGTCGTTTCATCCCCAATATTTCTTGAAAGACATTGGTCAACAAAAGTCCTCATTTTTTCGTTTACTCAACTCTCTAAAGTTAAGCCTGGACGGACCTGATGATCGGAGTAGTTGCGCAAACATCTTATCTAATTATCTTCCCACTAAATATTTCAAAACTCACCAATTTCAACCATCTTAATGTTGCTTTTCTCTAATCCTCGTATTTACATATCAAATTCATTTAATAATATATATATATATATATATATATATATATATATTCTATNCATCCCCAATATTTCTTGAAAGACATTGGTCAACAAAAGTCCTCATTTTTTCGTTTACTCAACTCTCTAAAGTTAAGCCTGATGATCGGAGTAGTTGCGCAAACATCTTATCTAATTATCTTCCCACTAAATATTTCAAAACTCACCAATTTCAACCATCTTAATGTTGCTTTTCTCTAATCCTCGTATTTACGTATCAAATTCATTTAATAATATATATATATATATATATATATATATATTCTATCAATTACTCAAATAATAAAAGGTAGAAATTGTAATACTTGGCTTATCCAGCCAAGCATATTATTCAATTAAATAAAGTTAAAGTTGGACTCGTTAGTATCAATTATTCATAGACCTTGCCTTGTAATATTAACATGTGATCCTTAATTTGCATCAAATTTAGGGCATATTTGTTATGCTTTTTAATTCAATTTCTTGTTAATTAAGATGAAGATGTTGGAGTTGTTAAACACATTCCAAGTCAACACATCACATCCTGGTTTAATGCTTATATGGATCAATGCAACACATTTCTTTAACAATTTTGAGTTGATTCGAGAATTTTTTTAAATTTAAAAAAATTTATAAGAATCATTTAGAGTTACCCTCTAAATTAATGTTATAAAATGTTATCAACTTCCTCATAAATTACGAAACAAAACTTTAAAAATTAATCTTTTTTAGTTTATAAAATTTATTTAAAAAAAAAAACATACCCACTAAGTAGATAATAAATTAATGAAACTATTTATAGACAAATAAACTAATTTTAAAAAGTATATTCATAGTTTCATAAACTCTAACAAAAAAAATAATTTGGCTACAAATGCGTTCTAAAATTTTTTTCCCATAATTTAGAACGACGTGATTGATTCAAATTAATAATTCACGTGTATATTATATAATTTAAAAATTTATTATAAAAAAACAAAAAGCAAAGGTCGTAGAAACTAGAAGGTTTTGAGGGGTTGAATGAGGAATTGAAATATCCATAAAGAAAGGTCCAATTTTGAGATGTTCAATGCCAAAATAATAGTGAATTTTTAAACGTGTTCATATTGGATGAACCTTCTAAACTAAAACACGTAGCTCCCTGCCCCTTTCAACTTTATTTATTTTATTTTATTTTTTCAATTTTTTTCTTTATTTCTTTATTTCTTTTTTAGGAAGGATTTCATGCACGTTTTTTTTATATACATCAAATTTATATCAATTACGATTTCAAAATATAATTTTTTTTTATGAAATTTACCCGCGTATAAACGATTAAATTCATTATTTATAAAAATCTACTAACATTTAATAAATTGATTATCTATTATTTTAAATTTTAAATTGATAAAACTGCCTAAATTGATTTATAGATTCTCGTATATCCATTAATTTTTATTAAAATAAAGCACGTGACAGATTGGTTATCTATATTCGACATTAACATAAAGAAATGAAAAAGTGGGGCACTTATNTTTCAATTTTTTTCTTTATTTCTTTATTTCTTTTTTAGGAAGGATTTCATGCACGTTTTTTTTTTTTTTTTTATATACATCAAATTTATATCAATTATGATTTCAAAATATAATTTTTTTTTATGAAATTTACCCGCGTGTGACAATTTTAATGTATGAACGATTAAATTCATTATTTATAAACATTGAACTAACATTTTTTAAACCAAATTTAACCAACCACGTAAATTGATTATCTATTATTTTAAATTTTAAATTAATAAAACTGCCTAAATTGATTTATAGATTCTCGTATATCCATTAATTTTTATTAAAATAAAGCACGTGACAGATTGGTTATCTATATTCGACATTAACATAAAGAAATGAAAAAGTGGGGCACTTATCAACTTTATTCACTTTTTGATAAGTTTGTGAACTCGATCGTATCTGTTCTCTTTTATCTCTTTCATTATTAAATTATTCGTAAATGAAAGAGGTCTCAATTTTAGATTCTATTTGATAATTATTTAATTTTTAAAATTAAATTTGTAAATAATATATATATATATATATATATATATAAAGTAATTTTTGTTTATAAAATTTAGCTAAAAATTTTAAAGATTCAATTATCGTAAAAAAAAACAGGAAGAAATTAAATCTAATGTTCAAAAACTAAAAATTAAATATCCAATAATTACGAACAAGTTTACAAAATTGAAATTTTCAATTACAATTCAAAATTAAAAATATTTTTATTTTCGAAAATTAGGAAGAATTCCAGTTTTTTATTTTGAGAAATATAAAATATTGGTAAATAAATGATGGAAAACCAACACGATTTTGTAACATTAAAAAAAAAAAAAAAAAAAAAAAAAAAAAAACCGAACCGTTTGGTTTAAAAAGNAAAGTCTGACCCACATATTTTCAAATCAGTGGAGCTTAAGCCTATAAATATATGAACCTCCAAATTTCAAACACCAACGAAGCCGAGGACTACCAATCAGAGATCCTCATCTTCTACCTCCGATCTCTCTGGTTTTTTTTTTATAAAAAATTTCATCATGAAGCATGAAGGTAATCAAAGCTGTTTTCCTAACATTTCTTTGATTTTGATCTTTGAAATTCATTGAATATTGAAGACTAACTTTTCTGCTACTTGCTCTGTGCTCAGATGGCGGCTTCGGGAAGGTCATTCCATCGTCGCACCATCTAAGCCCTTCCTTCGTTGGAGGCATCGCCGCTATCGGGAAAAGCCATTTCCGGCGGACTTCGAAGGCTGTAATCAACAATCACAAGTTGATTCCGCTTCTACATATAACGGAGTCCGGCCGCGTTGGTTTCTTGGAGAGATTTTCGCATTATGTTGGTAAAGTCCTCCTTAGCTTTTACTGACTACAAACCTAATTCCATGTAAAATGGAATATTTAACCCTAACATTTTGAGGTTTTCATTTTGCAGCGAGGCAGTTAGGGCTTTCAGATGCAGATGAGTATCCTCAACTCTGCAAGCTAGCGAACAATTATTTGAGGAAGACGAAAGGATGCGTGGAAGAAATTTATGCATATTTCGCGAGTGAATCCGAGGCGGAATCCCTGTATCTGAAGTTAATGGATGAGTTTGATCAATGCATCTCGAGTTATTTCGCATTCCATTGGAGCCAAGCTCCCTTGATGATCAGTCAGGTAAATTCGTCAATCCTCCCCCAAAAAAAGATGAACACGATGTTAAAATTTCAGTATATCCCTTAATTAATGGCGGATTTAATGATAGGTTTTGAGTGTCGACTCCGAGCGCAAGAAGCTGAAAGATCTTGTGGTGGCAGCGACTAGGTATTTTCCTTTTAGATCTGTCAATTTGCTTGAGAAGTCAAATTTGGTTCCTGAGTTTGAACTTTGAAACTTCAATCATGGTGCATCTTCTAGAATAGAATTAAGATTCATTTGATAACTTCAATAAGTGAAGATATCTGAGTATTTATTTTCCTATATTGGTTTCTGGCCATTTGATAGGAAGGAGAGGTTCGATAGGGTGTGTAAGGATCTGAAAGTGACAAGGGTATTCTCTACTTTGGTGGAGGAAATGAAGAAGATAGGTTGTGCTCCATCTAAGGGTGAGTCGAAATTCTCCCACACGATACCGCCATCGTCTCGAAAAGATAGGAGGCCTGTGCTTCTTCTTATGGGTGGTGGCATGGGCGCTGGCAAGAGTACTGTCCTCAAAGACATTTGCAAAGAGTGCGTATTATTGATATAGAAGCTCGTTTAGAAATTTTATATCGAAGTTTGCTGATAAACAGATGCTAATTATGCAGGCCCTTCTGGTTGGAAGCAGAAACAAATAGAGTGATGGTAGAGGCAGATGCCTTCAAAGAGACTGATGTTATCTACCAAGCCATCAGCTCAATGGGCTATCACGACGACATGCTTCAAACTGCCGAATTGGTGAGCGCCTTCCTACCCACACATTAAATTACATCTCGAATTGTTTCAATGAACAAACCAGCTAACTACGACGAATCGTAACAGGTACACCAGCCATCTACCGATGCTGCATCATCGTTGCTGGTCACAGCATTAAACGAGGGACGGGATGTGATCTTGGATGGCACACTGTCTTGGGAGCCATACGTTATGCAGACGATTGAAATGGCTCAAAACATTCACAAGCGTCGATATCGAATGGGAGTTGGGTACAAGGTAGAGAATGGAAAAGTGACAGAGAATTACTGGGAGGCTATGAGTGAAGAAGAAGAGAAGGAATTGAGGAAGGAGCATGGAGAAATGCAAAATAGAATGGCTTATAGAATAGAGTTGGTTGGAGTTGTTTGTGATGCTCATCTAGCTGTTGTTAGAGGAATAAGGTAAGGATCGAAGCAAAATTTTGGCGCTTTGGTATTGACATCTTGAGCCATTTATGGTTCTAATG